TGGGGCCCCCTTGGTGAGGCAGGAAGTAGGGCAGGTGCTGGAGGTGCTGCCCAGCCTGGATGGTGAATGGGGCCCTGGGGCCAGGCCAGGAAGTGTGACACAGCTGTGGGCCACTCGTCCAGAGGGTGCGTGGGGGAGGACGGGGTGTCTCCCCAGTGCTGCGTGCATGCTCAGGAGAGGCATGGGAGGGAATATGCTCCCCTGGATTTGTACGTGGGGTGGAGGCAGGCTGTCTGCTGTGGGCTCGGGGCTCTCTGCCCTGCTGCCTATGCCCCGGGAGCTGTGCACTAGCCATATGTCCCTTGCCCATCTCCCAGCAGTGGGGGCGGCAAGTTGTGCCTCCTGCTGCCAGGTGGGTAGGAGATGCACGGCCAGTACGCAGCTCCTGGGGCAAAAGCAGCAGGGCAGAGAGCCCCAAAGCAGGCAGCCCACCTCCGCCCTACTCCTAAAAGCATCCCCATTCTTAAAATTGATGGCGGCGGCACTTGAACTAAAGCTCATTTGATGAGTTCAAGCACCCCTGCTGCCATTTTTAGGCACTGAGATGCTCATCCCCTGGACGAGCTGCCTGCAGCTCCATCCTGCTCGCTGCCCTGGCCCCAGGGTCCCATTCACTGCCCTGCTTGGGCAGTGTTTCCAGCCCCAGCCTCTACCCCACTGCCTCCCGCACTGTGGGGGTTTTGATCTGCCCCAACCCCTTCCCTCCCCCACGTCCCTTCCCCTCCACAGACTTAACTGTCGGGAGCTGCTCTCGACACTGCCCAGCTGTGCTCCTGGAAATCGGTTATTGGATCGGTATCAGCCGATATGCCTGGTGAAAGGTCACCTATCGGTACCGGCCAAGCAAATCTTTATCGGTGCACCCCTAGTCTCATCCATATTTTCAAGGCTGGTAACAGGAATACTGTTGCACAATTACTTGCATCTCCCACTTCTGGTTTCCTCCAGAGTAACTGTTATGTTTGTTTCCTTTCCTGTTCCTGCCCCTTATATCCTTTTTCAGCTCACCATGCCACTACATTTTTCTAATCCTTCCAATGCTAGTTGTGCATACAAAGCAGTTGTCCCTAAGAAGGTGACCTTTCCTTTGGGCTTCCTATTTTCCTTTGCGGGTATCTTTTAGATTATATGCTCTTTGAAATGAGGAAGGTATTGATTTTCCTTTTTGTCAAAGCCCTTCTAATGTGCAACAATAAAATATTAGTAGTTAATGCAACAGGATCACCAAAATATAGCCATTGCACAATTAGATGTGCTATTTCTACGCAGCAGTAAGAATTCAAAGACCTCTAAAGCTGTAAACAACAATATGACTTCCCTGAAAGAACAATACTATTTTATCAATTGTGTACTCACCTGAACCACCTTATAGAGGAATGAAAACACCAGAGAGACACAAGCATTCTTCTTAGAAGTTGCAACAACTGAAAAAAGTAAGTTTAGGAATGTTTGCTCAAAGTTCCCATTTTTTAAATTTTATTTTTAAATCCCTTTTCAAAAATGTTTACTAAGGCACTGCAGCTGACCCAAAAACTCAGGAAGCAGCATTCATTAGGTATACCATGTCATTTCTAAATGGTGACCTACTGAAAAGCAAAGACAGGTAAGCATTGAGAAAATACTGGTTGCATTGGCACTTAAAACATATATATATTTTTGTTCATAGGGTATTTAATGGGAATTTGACCTTAACTGTTTTTTATCTTTGAAATCCTTTCCCCCACTTCCCCTCTGCCATGCTGACTTACATTGTGAAAATTCACAGAGTCAACATTTCCACCCTATTAAGCAGCCTATATTCCAAAGGATACGATATAAATTGTTATGTTTAATCCACATAAAACGAACTCCTCCATGAGCTAGAATGGGGGAAAGCGTTCCTTCTTCTTCCTTTTCCATAAGGATTGGCATAAAATGCTCAACCTCTGACATATCAACATCTCCACGGTAATTTCGACAGATGAGAACCTGCAATGGAGAAGTACAATAGAGAACCAAATGGACAACATACTTGAAGTGGTCATCTGAATAACATACATGACCTTTGGAAACTGAGGTCAAATAATTTGAATGACTAAAGTTGATACTTGTATGGTGGAATCACAGACCACTTGGCTATTTAAACTACAAAATGCTTGTGGAAATCTTTTATTTACAACACACTGTATTTACGTGATTCCAAGACAAGATTTTTCCCCCCATTTAACATGGGGAAAAAAACGTTCTTGGGATCAACTATTGTGAGGGTGAGGGATGGAGGGAGAAAAGTAGGCAGCCGCTGTGCCTGCAACCCTGACTGGGGGTTGGGGCCAGAGCTGCAACTACTGCCTTCCCCCACTGATGTCAGACCCCCCACTTGCCTTTGTTGTGGCAAGCTGCCCCCACTCCAGTCTGGGACGCCAAGCACGGCCACGCGCTCTTGTGCAGGGCTGAGGCCAAGCACCGTGCTCCAGGATGCAGCAGGGACAGCCTGCTGGAGCCAGGGTAAGCAGGGAGGGGCGGGCAGAGGGGAGCAAAGACAGGGCCCCAAGGTGGCAGGGAGCAAGGTTGCGTGTGTATGGGGAGCCTTTCGCCAGGCACAAAGGGATCAGGATGCAGCGGGGCAAGGGGTGGTGGGGGTGAATGACTAGCAGCAGGAGGCAAGCTGCTCCATTCCAGCCCCGCTGGCTGCCCCCATCTGCTGCAGCGGTTGGGTGGGTGGGGGAACAACTTTGGGACGACTCTCCAATTAGCCTGTATATGTGGACCGGTAAGTGTTCCACCTATAGAACTGAGCTGTTAAGGCGGTCACCTTAAATCCCGCCGCAAAGAGGGTGTGCGGACACCTGGCAGCTAGAGAAGTCTGCACAAACCCGCCAGCAGACAGCACAGAGCCTGCGCGGTTGCGGCGCAGCGCAGAGCGGGTCCCACCGGCCTGTGGTGCTTGGGCAGCGCTGCTGCCAGCCCTCGGGGAGGGGCGGCTCGGGAGGAGCCAGCCTGTCCTGCGGGCCCCGGGGAGGCGCGGCCGGACCGCGAAGGAGCCGCTGCGCCAGGGGAACCGCCCGCAGGCAGGCCGCGCCGCGCGGGGCCTACCTTCCCCTTCAGGTCCAACACGTAGACAGCGCTGGCGGACATGCTGCCGGCTCCTGCCCCCCGCGGCCTCACCCGCGCACTTCCGGCCGGAAGTAGCCCCGCTCCCGCCGGAAGCCGTGAAAGCCCGACCCGGTGCGCGGGGCGGGGCCTCGGTCCCCTCCTCCGGAGTCGGTGACGTCCTCGCGGCGCCATAGGGGTGAGGTGTGGGGCGCCCGAGCGCGTCGGACAGCGCCCAGGACGCGGGTCGGGCGGCACCGCTGCCGAGAAGGCTCCGCAAAGAGGCGCCGGGTCAGAGCCTTCAGCTCCAGTGTTCAGTTATCCCCAAAAACCCGCGCTGCGTTGTGCTGACATGCGGGGTCGCTCAAGCCAGTCCCTGCACAGCACTGGCAGCAGACAGCTGAGAGCAAGCAATAACAGTTCCCACTGCCACTTCTTCTGCGACATGTCTTACACGTACTGTACACAAGCACGGGGGCCAGCGAAGAAGTCAAACGGCACAACAGGATTTGAGGCCTCAGAAAGGTGTGGCTGGTGCTCCAACGGGCGCTGTTCACGTGAGACGCAACAACTGAACATGTGTTTAAAGGGTGCTCAGATCATAAAACGAGCTGCAGTTAAGGTTCTGCTAAGGAAGGCGAGCACAGGCTTGCAGGTACAGCCTAGCTCAGGCGAAAAGTGCTGTCAAGATCCCCTCCTCATCCACTACACCAGGTACATTTTTTTTTTTTTTATTATTATTTTAACACAGTTTTTATTTGACCTACTAGAGTTTCTAGAAAAGTTATAAGCAGATTACAGACAGGCTTATAGTACCCAAGGAGGAACAATTCAGTAAGGTAACTTGTCTGCATCTAAAATCAGACCGTCACAAACATTCATTTCAAAACAAGGCTGTGTCAACCAGCTATCGTTACACCCTCCATATGAAATTTCTGCAGAAGTTTTCCTACAAACTCTAAACAAGGGGACTTCTGCAGATAAATAGAGGATTAGGGCCTTTATTCATTGTTCAGTGAAGGTGGGTGTGTGGTATACATACTTCTAAACAAGCACTTAAGGGGTACTGCCAGCATGCAAAAGTTAAAAAAAAAAAAAAATGAATTAAATATCCAATGCAGAGATCACAGAGATTTATGCAAAGCATATCCTCCTAATAGAAATGCTTCTCATAATCCAGAACTGAGTAAGAAAAGCCATTCATTTAGTCCAGCTGACTTTGGGGATGTCATAGTGTTCAGTCAGAGTATCCAAGTGTCTGTTAAAATCCTAGGAGAGAAAAAAAAAAGTGTCAACTTTCCAGAATACTGAACATGCTTTCTGCCTGCTTTAAATTTAGTAATTTCAGATTAAATGAGTTGAAAATTTAGGTCAGTATCTGGTTAGTCAGCATCTTGTACCAGGTGCCACCAAGAAAGGTGCCCAAAAGCTGTACAATAGACAGTTATGCAACAGATAGCCCAGTTAATGGTTGGCTTCTGATCTGAATCGTGGAGTTATATATTATAAAATGAGAATGATTAATCCATTTTTTGAAACCCACTGAAGTCTAGGCTTTAATTGTATCCTGTGGCCGTTAGCTGTATGGGTTAGTTACCTTTTGGCAGCTTTAAATTTGTAGCCTTTTAATTTAACTGAATAATTCTGTGTTCTTGTATTTAAAGATGATACAAGATACCAATCAAATTTACCTTTATTAGCCCATCAGTTTGATGTGTTCCTTTATTAGCAACTTTTCTTTCTGTAAAGATTATCCTAATCCATCACATTTCATTACATTCATGCCTCAGTTAGTCTGGTACATGTTCCAATATGTGAAGGCAAGAACTTCTGGTTCCAAGAACTTTTGGAAAAACCTGGGAAGCCATGGGTTTCCTTCACAGGCTGGCAGAGTTCCAGCCTGCAAGGGGCGGTGGGAAGCAAGATACAGGGTATCATGTGCATGTGTGCGCATAGAAATGCATACGTCAGCTAGCCAGTGTGGTGGACAGCATCTCCTGCCAGGTAAGTCTATGGGGGCACAGGCAACAGTTGTAGGGGAAATGTACAGGTGATGGGGGCGGGGGGCAGGGCTTCAGCTGGGTCAGACCAACTCTGGGCAGAAGGTGCCTCCACTGCCTAGCAGGCAGGTCCCAGAGGGAGAGGGAGCGATGCAGTCCCATGACTGCCAAGGTGAGGCACAACAGCAGCAGTGGCAGAGTTGTGCCCCCTGCTGCTGCTGGGAAGGCAAGGGGTGCCTCACCTTGGCAGTGAGGAGCTCTCTCCCACGCTGGGTCCCTCCTCCTGGGCTGCATAGGTAGCTCCTGCCCAAAGCTGGTATGGTCAGGCTGCAGCCCTACACTCTATGCCCTGCTGTGGGCACAGAAATCGGGCAGCACATGCCCACCCCACCACATTGCCTGTACCCTCCTTATGCGCTGGGGGCAACAGATCAGGAGTGAGGTGCACCAGCAAGGCCAGGGCACTGTCAAAGCAGTGCTGTTCAATGCTATAAAGCAGCAGAGGGGACAGGCGCAGCTGGGCCTGCACATCTTGTGAGCAAAGGGGGCAGGGGGAATTCTGATTTTCCATGATAAAAAAAACAAAATCAAATGCTAAAGTGTATAGGTATTTAGAATTTATTTTATGACTGAGGCACTGGTAGGCCTCCAAATTGCTTTAAAATGTAAATATGTCAATAAAACACTGTGTTGAACTGATACCATATAGATAGTAGTGCTTCATTTTAATCACAGAAAAATGCTGATTTTGCAGGTTATAACTGGAGACTGTTGGCTCTTATCAGAGAACTTGTAATTTTTAAACGGAGAAAACCAGGATGCCTGATCACCCACCACCGATTCCTGTTAAAAAGGCAAGCAGTTGTTTCCTCCATCAGAGCCCCAGAATGTGCAAGTTGCAGCTTTCATATTACTTATGGCAAGAGATTTTTCCAGACAAACATATTAGAGCAATAACTCTTTGAATTGCATATCCTGACAGGTGGCTTATTTAGAATAGACAGCAAAGGGAACATACACTGTGAACAAGGATAATCATATCCTCACCTCAACTCTTTGTTTGTGGGTCTTGGAAGCCTTCTTCAGGATTCTTTCCATTTGCTGAGAAAGTGAAAACAGACACAGGTTGCTGTCATGCTAGCTCTTTTCACCGCAATGAAATGCTTGCTTTTTAACCTGCACGTTGTCTTTTTGGGGAAGTAACCTGGGTCAGGGCCGCTGCGAGTGTGCAGCTCTGGCTCCCGCAAAGCGCGCCCCAGCTAGGGGCGGACACGTGCCCCCGCCCACCCGACTCGACCTCCCCCGGCAGCAGGAGCCTCGCGGCCCGTACCCTCTTCTCCTGCATCTTCTCATAAGCGAGCTGCGCGGGCGTGCGCTTGTCCAGGCCGCGCCTCTTCTCCTCCTCCTGCTTCTTGCTGCTCACGGTTTGGTCCCGGATCTTGCTCTTGTCCTTGTCCTTATCCTTCCTCTTCTTCCTGCGGGGACAGAGCCAGAGCGGCGGCCTGAAAAGCAGCGCGGGAAGCCGGGACCACGTTGCCCGCCGGAGAAGGGACTTACCGCCGGCCCGCCGGAGAAGGGGCTTACCGCCGGGCCGCTGCCGGGGCCTCGCCACTCGCCTTGAGCCGCAGCGCGCCGCGCTGGACACTCTCGTACTCCGCCATAGCTTCCCCGAGCTCGCGGCACTTCCGGGTTACGAGCGGAGAGCACTTCCGGGCCGCGCCCGCGAGGTGCGTCGGTAAAGGCTGAGCTGGGCTGCCAGGCAGCCGCGGTAACCGGCCCTGTGGGAGGGAGCATGCGCGGTGTTGGTCGCGGCTCCCGAGACCTGCAACAGCCCCGGGCGCGCAGACCGTCCTGGGCGCAGTCCCGGAGAGGAGCGGAGCTGTGGGGCACGGCCAACCCCCACAGACCCCGTCTGGCCTCTCCAGCGCGCGCCCCGGGCAGGCCGACAGCCTACAGCAGCCACCGCCCTGCGGCTGCAAGGCAGAGTCAGCTGCAGGGGTCCCTGGGAGAGGGCCACGGGCACCCCCTTTGGCACGCAGCACGGCAAAGACTTGGGTGCAAGTTCTTTCTGACCCGCCGAGGGGCAAGACTTTCCGAGAGTCAGAGCCTTGGCTGCAGCAGTACTCCACCTCTGAGGAAAAGGTAGTAGCAAGAGGGGGAAAAAATTCCCTCCTAGTCCCACATGGGACCCAGCAAAGCCCAGAAGCCTGGGAAATACCCACAGCAGAGCACAGGCATTGCTGTGCATAGGTCATGGCTGACCGTTGCCCATCAACCTCTCAAACACTGCCGGTGGGGAGATTCCACAATTTCCCCACATGTCTAGTCTACTGCTTCTGTTTTAACAGTGAAGATGTTTTTCCTAATATCACAATCTAAGCCCTCTGCTGCAGCGGTACTGGTCTGTGTCCAACTCCGCATCAAGAGAGAGAGGGTATTTTCCCTCTTCTAGCAAAAGAAAGTTTCCTACATTTCTTCCTCCCTCCCAGTATGTTCTCAGTTTTATACCTGAACGCCCAAGAGGGATCAGAGTATCAAGATAATGCCTCGTTAAAACCAACAATGGGGCAAATTATTCTCAAAATTAGGCCCACCAGATAAACATTATAAATTGTTAAATAACACGGGTGTATGATTTACACTTTTCCATTTTAGCAAACACTTCATAAATGTATTGAAGACGTGATCCTTGTTTTTCATGGGGAAATTAGATGGTCACACTTATTTTGTTGGTTTAACTTTATTATAAATTAGCAGTTATGGCTCAGCAAAGAGCATTTGAAATTAATTGTTAATGGAGACGATCAAAACTATAATTACTAGCACATATGGGGTTGATTTGGTGGGGGGTTTTTTACAGTGGATATTAACAAGAAAAAGACTTTGGACTTCAGGGATGGTCCTGCTTTGAGCAGGGGGTTAGACTAGAAGGCTTCTTGAGTTCCCTTCCAACCCTAACTTTCTATGATTCAGTGACACTGTGATGCTTTTTTAGGGTTCCTGCTGATGCTGACTATTAAAGGAAGGAAGATATTCCTAGTGCTTTTTTTCAGCAGAATCACAAACAACAAATCCACATAGTCCCCTATCAGTTTCAGAGACCAGGCAAAGAAGCTGTTTTGAGTTTAGTTGTATGGTGTAATATGACTCTGCCAGAGCATACAGGAGGTAGGTGAATGATGCTGGAAGAGAGCCTTATAGTCAGACTAAAGATGCGATGAAATGCTTCTATTATGATTCTGAAAACCATGGAGCAGAGAAGGTGGTTACTTGATCCCCCTCCTCTGAACCTCATTGTTGCAGTTTTTCATATTTGAATATTCAGGACTCCTATAAAGGTAATTTAAGGGGATAGAACCATGGGACAAGAATCAGGATTCAGGCGGACATGGGCAACAAGCAAACCACTTTTACTCCAGAGCAGCTAGATGCTTATCAGGTAAAACCACTAAGCTTAAAAAAAAGAAAAGATAAAATAGCTATAATATGGGTTAAGGGAGGTTGCTCTAAAACAGTCGTTGGGTCTTAATTTTGTGATGCTAACTGGGATTAAAAACTCTAGCAAAAGTGTTTAGAGTAAATATGATTGATAGCTGTTTAATGTCTCTCTTCCTTTTTCATGCAAAGAGAAGAATAAAGCCATGTATTATAAATTAAGAGGAAGTACATAAGTCTTTGGCAAAGCTAACTAGAAAGGCAGCATGTTTACACTAGGGAGAACTTTGGGCCAGTGTATGTTTTAAAAAAAATGAATACCACTGTAACTTATACCTCACCGTATTTTGCAGGACTGCACATTTTTTACAAGGAAAGAAATTCTAAGGTGAGCTTGTTTTTTTTGTCTTTAAAAGCAGTAACAGAACACAGGGTTCTTATCTTATAAGTTTAGGAATCTTTGCAAGATTTTTTTTTAAACTGGCTCCTACCCTGGGGGTCTTTAAGAAGACGCTTGATGCCTACCTGGCTGGAGTCATTTGAGCCCAGTTTTTCTCCTGCCCAGGTAGGGGGTCAGACTTGAAGATCTACAAGGTACCTTCCGACCCAACTTCTATGATTCTGTGACCACGACAAAAAGCCCCACAGCTTTTATATGTACAAAATTGTGTTAAGTAGCATTAACTGCGCCAAAAATCTGTAACTCACTGTAGCATTAAAGGGCCAGTTCCTCCAGCTGAAGCTTTTATATAACAAATTATCGAAAATGATTTTGCCACATACACATTCAAAGGGTTTCATGCCCTTCCACCTTGTTTTATAACAACTGCTACACAGATTATTGATATTCTGTGGTCCATTTTGTTTATTTGGTGAAATATATCCATATTTCCATATTTTCAGTAGTGTAATAAAGAACCAAAACTAACTTGTATTTACAGTTTCTTTTCCTCATATATTTATATTGTAGTCTAAATTCTATTTTAATGTTATGATATAATTTCATTTTTGAATTATTGATATTATTAACATTAGCGGTCCAAAAATACTAGATTATCCACCTACCAGTGTGAGATTGTTTTCACAGAGAAACAAAATGAGCCAGAGAGACTTGGAAAAGGACATGTAATACTTGTAAAGACTGTCTTCAGTATTAGAACAGAGTAGACTTTAAAGTGATTTTCTTTCAGTTTTGTCTTGGCAATATGCTGCTAGTGTACCATTTCTCATTCTTTCTTATTTTTATGTTTACAGTAATATTTTTTGAGAAATGTTTACAAGGCCCAAATTATGTGAAAGAGAATTGGGAATTAACCAATATTCCCAATTCACAAAAAGTCACAGCCAGCTTGCGAGGATTAAAGTAACCTAAAAAGCTTTTGCTGACACAACATGAGGCTCTCTTGGTTTCTGTGTGAGAAGCTACTGACCTATGAGACATCTACTGTGGAGTTGTCTAATGAGCTCTGCAGTAAACATCTGTGTCTGCACATGCATGGCTCCACTAGGTTGGAGGTTAATTAATGAACTCTGCCACAGGTTAATATTTGTAAATGTAAGTACTATCCTACCCTACGGCAGTTTTTTACTCTGCAGCAACACACGGTGCTTCAGCGTGAGGGCTGCCTGCTGTCTAGCCCCACATTGAAGCACCCTTGTGTGCCAGCCAGCTCCTCTGCAACATGTTCACAAACTCCTTAGATGCAGGGGTAGCAGTGGACGTAGTCTTTCTGGACTTTAGGAGGGCCTTTGACACTGTCGCTCACCCCATTCTCATTAAAAAACTAGGGGACTGTGGTGTTGACACCTACACAGTCAAATGGGGTCACTAACTGGCTGGAGGGCCGCACCCAGAGAGTGGTGGTGGACGGGTCATTTTCGACCTGGAGGGATGTGGGTAGTGGGGTCCCCCAGGGCTCGGTCCTCGGGCCCGCGCCATTCAACATCTTCATCAGTGACTTGGACGAGGGGGTAAAAAGCACCCTGTTCAAATTTGCTGAAGACACTAAGATGTTGGGGGATGTGGACATGCTAGAAGGGAGGAATAGGCTGTAGTCAGACCTAGACAGGTTACAGGGGTGGGCGGATGAGAACAGGATGGGATTCAACACTGACAAGTGCAAGGTGATGCACCTGGGCAGGAAGAACCAGCAGCAGACTGACAGGTTGGGGAACTCCCTCCTTGTCAGTGCAGAGGCAGAAAAGGATCTTGGAATCACTATTGATGCCAAGATGAATGTGGGCCGGCAGTGTGGGGATGCGGTCAGGGAGGCCAAACGCACCTTGTCATGCATCCACAGATGCATCACGAGCAGGTCCCCTGATTGCGACACTGGTCAGGCCGCAGCTGGAGTACTGTGTCCAGTTCTGGGCACCACACTTCAAGAGGGATGTGGACAACATGGAGAGGGTCCAGAGGAGGCCACTCGCATGATCAGGGGACTGCAGGGCAGGCCCTACGAGGAGAGGCTACGGGACCTGAACCTGTTCAGCCTCCACAAGGGAAGGCTGAGGGGGGATCTAGTGGCCTGTTACAAACTAGTCAGAGGGGACCAGCAGGCAGTGGGGGAGTCCCTGTTCCCCTGAGCACTACCAGGAGTGACCAGAAATAATGGGCACAAGCTGGCAGAGGGTAGATTCAGACTAGACATCAGGAGGCGCGACTTCACTGTCAGGGCGGCTAGGATCTGGAACCAACTTCCAAGCGAAGTGGTGCTGGCTCCTACCCTGGGGGTCTTTAAGAGGAGGCTAGACGAACACCTTGCTGGGGGTCGTTTGACCCCAGTACTTTTTCCTGCTATGGCAGGGGGTTGGACTTGATGATCTGCTCAGGTCCCTTTTGACCCGACTAACTTTGAAACTATGAAACTACGTTGAGCCAGGTTGGAGCAGCCCTGGGCTGGCAGGCTGGCCCTCCCCCACCAGACCCTCTGCCAGCCGGGGCTGCTCTGACCCAGCTCAGACTCAGGTGCACATGTAAACATGGCACCCAGGAGCAATAAACTTTGGCACAATATGTGCCAGAGTTTATTGCTGCGTGTTACTGTGCACATGTAGACATGCCCAGTATCAGTGGATTGACTCGTTTGAAGAACAGGGTAGAGGAGAAAATTGCATGAGGATGTGCCCTTTAGCAGAATTATGCACTCTTCCATTGATGTGCACTCTGCTAACCTGCTTGCGAATGTAGCGCAGCAGAAAGTGTAATTGGAGCAAGTATCTATTATAACTGAAACTTAAAGCTTGGCTGAATTTTCATGCGCTGAATAGAAGCCCAGGCCATAATTGTGTCATGAATAAGGCATTTATTATTGATAATGAGCCCCTTAGGAACAATGGAACAGGATTTTCAGCCACATTCACTAATGATCACTCAAAAAAAAAAGGATCCTTAATCTACAGGAGGTAAACAATACTGCAAAAAATTAAAACACGGTTGAAGACACATTACAGATCTTCTGTTTCCCATGGGATCTCGTTACAGTCAGTTTAGTGGAAATTTTGATGGGCCACAAATGCAGGATGAGGCTGCAGACTTGAAGAGCAAAACATTTGCTGCCTTACCCTCCTTCCCCTTATAAGGAAGGTAACAGGTAGCCAAGGGAAGACTAGCTGACTAGTGGAGTAGTCTCCCATCCCTCTGAGCTAAATGGCTCAGTGGTTCTCCCTCTCCTATATGTAGATTTGCTTTTGAAATTACAATCTATTCCTCCAGAAAATACACATTTTTATGAATTTCTTTTGAAGACTGCTTGGTGCAATTGTTATGACCAGAATTGTTAAAGCTGTGCTCGACTACACTGGGCACCTATATCAGAGGTATTGGGTACAATTTATCTCCTAATGACTTCTGTAGGAGATGGCATGCAGCCTCACTGAGTGAATTTTTTGCAGAGCATTGAACTTATAGGATCTTTTCTGTCTTGGCATCACATTCCTCTACACACACAGTTCCTTGGCAGCGGAAAAGGGTCACTAATTGCTTCATTCCAAATTTACAGCCAGCTGGAGTTGATGAACAGTATTTGCACCACACGTACCTTTGCACAGATTTTGTAGGGAGGCATGAGACAAGGATTCTCAGCTTTTGGTGTATTAACGGGACATGTTCTTGCCAGCTAAGCCAGCCTTCAGGAATGTATATAAAGATAGGTGGTGGTGGGGAAATGAAATATGGAAAGCAGTTTCTGGTGAAAAATACTTCCAGGAAGCTAATAACAGGTCTGTTTATCACTTTGAATAAAAAGTACTTGCTCACCCAGGCTACAAGAAAATGCAACTGCACAAAAAACAACAACAATTTTGCTGGCTAGTTTGTACTTTTTTATACTAATTGTTTCTTCCTCCATGAAGCGCAGATTCTCCTCAGTTATAGTTATGTTCACTACTTTGATGCAAGATCTGAACGATAAACCATAAAACAGAGATGATGGACATATTATTCAGCGCTGCAAGAACAAACTAATACCAAAATTAACCTTATATTCCATTTTCAGGCTGTTTTACAGGTACAGAGATCTGGCCCCACAGCTAGTCCCACTTGACTACTCGGATAAACCAGATGTGGTGCTTCCCTATGAACTCATCAGCAGCATGCCAGAGCTGAAGGTACAGTGTAAGGATTGCAGAAGGTACACATGGTGCTACATTTCACTTTCATCTATCCCTTCTGAATAATTCATCCCTTACTAATTGTCAAAAGACCTGAAAGATAATTGAATTCTGGCTATAGAGAATAGCTGTCTAAATCCAAAGTCCCTTTAGAAGCTGCCAGTGGTTTCCTTTGAAAGCTTACTGAAGTCCAAAAGAGGCAGAGAGAAGTTTGCAGCCGGACCTGTTTTTTGATGCAACATTAGACAAAAGAAAAAAAAAAATATACTAGGAACAAGGTGGGGCAAGGGGAAGGAGGAGGGGTTGTCTTGTCCACCACTAGCATCAAGTGGATAGAACTCCTGCCTAACTTGCGCCCTGTAAAGCCAAGGCCTTATGACCCCTCCCTCCCCAGTGCTCCTTCCTGCCCATGGCAGGAGGTCGGACTAGATGATCTGTCTAGGTCCCTTCTGACTCATTGATTCTATGATTCTATGATAAGGCACTAACTTGAAATAAATATTAGTAAAGGCTGCCTTTCACTTTATTTTGTCTTCCCTTTTCAACAGGACAATCCATTTCGCCAGCGGATAGCAGAGGTTTTCTCAGAGGATGGAGAAGGCAATATGACTTTAGATGATTTTTTAGATATGTTTTCAGTGTTGAGTGAAATGGCTCCGAGAGATCTCAAAGCTTATTATGCCTTTAAAATTTATGGTGAGTGAAACTGGCATGGATGGTAAAGCTGGGAGGAAATACGGAGTTGCACATGACCAGAGACAGACTGCAGGAACACTCTTAAATTGGATCAGTGATTTTCTACTAGACTGTCAAGGCACCCTGGGGTGTCTTGAGAACCTTATTAAGGGTGTCCTGTGGTGCCTTGCATTGTTAGAACTGTTAGCTGTGCAAATCCGATTGACAAGATAAACCCAGGCATATAAAAGAAAAAGCCATAGCATTAAAATCATTCTAACATGTTGTAGTCTTCCTGATTTTTTTTGCAACAGAAAAAAACTACTCTTTTTTTTTTGCATAGTAAGAAAACAAGTGAAAATTAAGAGGTAGCATTTTCGAAAGGGTCTTTATTGTTTAATGAGGCAGTGCCTTGAGTCTAATCCCTCATATCTACTGAGGTTGAGAACCACTACGTTAGATACACACATGGCTATGAAATGTATAGGTACATATTTAATAGGGCTCCCCTTCTCATTGCATTTAAATGCTTCCTAGCTATCCTAGAAACTTCTATGCCACTTGTAAGGTTTTCAGTGTGTTCATAAGTCAGAGATATTTGCTTAAATTCCGGCAGCTCTGGCTTTCACCGTGATGCGCTAATGCGCAGTAGAATTAATCTACTGCACTTTTAGTGTCTTGTGTTGATGCGCCTGTTGAGACTGAAGGTGATCTTTGATCATCAGTTTCTGACATCTGCTGGAAAATTTGTGGTACTGCATCCAAAGCAACTATTCCATATTTTGTTAACTGAAGGAAATAAAATTTAAAAAGAAACTGTACAGACCGTGGGAGATGCTTTGAAAAGTATTGACATGACCAAATAATTCTAAGGTAAAGGGGATTTCATTTGGTGTCAGCTGTTCAGTGGCATCTGTGGTTCCACTTACTGGAAACTAGATCTGGACACACAAAACTGTTGTCAACCAAGGCTGTTTACACATAGCAAGTCCTCCCTAAAATGTATCTGTCTGACTATTCATTAAGGGAATTAATGTCCCATCTTCTACAGGGTTCTTTGAATAACCCAGGCTTGTAGCACATTTTCACGAAGGGTGTTGTTAAAAATTACAATTATTTGCTATATGTTTTCAATTATTTTTTTCTTTGGGTCTCAGCAAAAGCAATTCTATAATGCCCTAATAAGAGAAAGTTCTGCTTTTAAAGTCAAAGGGGCCATTGTTCAACATGGAAAAAAAAAAAAGCAAGACAGCCTACCCTGTTCTTTTAACTTCATGCTTTTAGTTCTTGGTACTAGGTTGCTGATAATTTGATTATGGACAGATTTCATTAGGGATGAGATTATTTGGGAACTCTAATGTTGTGTATGACCAGCAACAGCAGGGTGCACAAAACTTGTAGATGGGTGTTTTGGAAATAATTGCAATCCAGTGAACGTTGGGCAATTCTTCAATTCTAAATTAGGAGTTCCTTCATACAGTTATATTGGAGTTTGTAAGTCAGGTCAGACATATTCCTTCCCACTGCCATCTTGGGAGTCAGACTTGGAGAAGTTTTCAGTATTTTGAATGCATCATTTCTCTTTCCTTTGACAGATTTTAACAATGATGATTATATATGCAAGTCAGACTTGGAAAAAACTGTTAACAAACTGACTCGAAATGAACTTACTCTGGAAGAAGTTAGTCTTGTATGTGAAAAAGTGATTGAGGAAGCTGATCTGGACAACGATGGCAAACTTTCCCTGGAAGATTTTCAGCACATGATAGTAAGAGCTCCAGACTTTCTCAGGTAACAGTGGCCCTTATGTTATACATTGAGAATTCACTCCTCATTCTCTAGTACGAGTGTCTTAAAAGGTATGCTTATTAGCTCTTCCACCCTTGACGATTTCAGCATTTCCAGTCCATCAGTCACAGTATTGCACTACAAGCATTCACTAAAAAAACAAACAACAAACCACCAAGATTTTAAAGTTTAGGGGTGTCTGTTTTTTTGCTGTTGCTTTTGAACTTCAAGTCACATTTTCCTCTAAGATCACAAGTGCCAGGAAATTGTCTGAAGAGAAAAAAAGGCTATGATTCTCATTCTGATGGCGCAGGTGGTTAGGCCTGAATACCTCAAATATTGCTGGATTCTGTATTGAACTGTTAAGAGTTGGCAACATTATCCTGAAAAGACTATTTACTTTACAAAAGTATTTTTAACAAAAGACTGCTCTTTAGATTTAAATGATTTAGGATTCTTAATCCCAAAGCAGGCAAGAAAAATCAAATGTGGCAAGGTAAAAATTACTAGGTTTGTGCCATGTGGTGAATGAAACATACGTAGCATTTTTTGTTTTTGTTCTTTTACTAGTACATTTCACATTCGAATCTGAATCTGGTGAAATACAGAGTGGGAACTTCATCCGAATTCCACCATGTACATCATTCCGTTCTGTTTTCAGGACCAGACACGATTTTGAGAAACTGGAGTAAGAGCTGGGGAGAAGAAAAAGTTGTTTTCTGTTTAAATCTTCAGGGATAAGATTCATTAAGATTTCCCTAAGTAACTTAGTACGCATTTTTTCTTGCCAGTCACCACATTCAATACAAATCTTGTTTTGATTTTCAGCTTCTGCAAATCTGATCAACAAAGAAACGGGGAATACATCCATATTTGTTTAACTTGGCAAATAAAAAGATTTGTTTAAGGTAAAAGACTACTGGCACTAAAACAAACATGTATAAACTGACCATTAAAAACTTTGACTTGAAACTGGAAGGAGATTCTTAACTACTACTACAGCTGAGTCCTAAGAAACCCTTCCAATCTGAATAGTAGGTGTTTATTATTGCCCTGAAGTGCTTTTTTAGATTGAGCCAGGTCAGTGATTCTCAGTGCAGATGCTGTGGCACCCTAAGGTACCCTGAGATCCTTTCAAGGGTGCTGCTGTGTGCCACGCAATGTTAGCATTGTTAGGTGTGCAAGCATGATTCACAAGATAAAACCACAGATTACGTGGGAATTCATTGCAGTAAAAAACACTCTGTGACCCAAGTTCTTTGAAACAGAAGACTTGCTCATTTATTCTTCTGTAATCAAAAAAAAAAGAGTGAAAGTGAAGAGCTGGCATTTTCTGAGGTGGACCTTGAGTCTGAAAAAGTTGAGTACCGTTCAGCTAGGTATCTGAAAACAGGGGTCTGCACCTGTCTTGGGAGGTCTCTTCTAGTCCTGGGCTCCCAACAGAAAAAACTGTTTGGGGGTATTTTTTATTTGTTTTTAAGGGGCTAGGCACTAAGTATAAGTTACACAAAAAAGAAAACCTAGAACATTTCCTTCTGTCCTTTATGCAATTTTACCTTGTGACAAAGATCTTGCTCTAGGCACTGAAAAATTATAAACTGGTGTCTGTTGAGCTTGGATTGCAAATTCATTGGCTCAAACAAAAACCCAGAACACTCAGAATCCCACCTATTGTAGAATGACTTAAAGCTGGCAAAATTCCATTAAAATTAATGGAAATTGAACACACACAAACCTGAAAGCAGCTTTAAAGGTGTCAGCCTCTGAGTCTGATGTTAGAGGACTGAAAGTTGAGTGAACTAAGAAACTCCTACCACACTGGAGCAAAAAGCAGCATGGCACTGTGGCATATTCATTCACAGTTTGAATGCAACTTACCTCAGTTATACACAGCCTCAGATCTAGATTTATTGAGTAAAAGCTTTTTCCTTGGAAAAGGAGCAGAGGATGCTTGAATTACTGTATTACTTGCAAGCTTTTGCTGAATTTTCTTTTAAGTCTGGAACATTGCATTGTAAGTTGTAATGCATGGATCCAGAATTACTACCAACTTTCTTAGAAACACTTTTTATTCCGTGGCTGTGAGACTCTGCAGTATATAAGGAATAACTAGCAAGGTATCTTCATGGCATATTAGTAGCAGGCACTGTAAAAAAGGGACCTTATCTGAAGTCTCTCTCTGTTACATGGTAGATGATCACCAGAATGTTGGTTCATTGTGTGTGTCATAAAACCGACAGTCAAATCCATAGCTCCCATTTTTTCCCTGAAATTCAATAGCCTCTGAGCATCTTTAGAGTCTTTTCCATATGTTTACGATCATGGTTACTTTGTTGGTCATTTTCTGCTTACTTTAAAAGATGAAGACATTTTTGTTGAGTAACAGATTTCTATATTTTATCATTCTAAAGAAAGAACAAATTGAACTGAGGGGCATAAAACCCATGCATTTACATTTACAAGTAATAAAATGTTTTACATGTCATACTTGGACCTTGAATCAGAAAGAGCATGTAAATGAACGATATACATAACGATTTTTTAAAGGAGTTTAGTTCTTTTCTTGTGACATATGCCAAATAAACACTAGGTGCCAACTGCTATTTATTGCTAAGATACCAAAAAATGCCACAGTATAGGTTAACAATTTCCCCTCGTCCTGGTCCGACATGCTGTTCTGTTGACTAGGGTGGCACACTAAAGAATGTGCTAATCCTCCAGTCCATCATGAAGACATACTTATTTTGCAAATTAAGCTTATAATCGCATATAAAAATTAATTCAGACAGTTTTAGGGGCTTATACTCAAACTAGACCAAAACCTCCACAGTCCATACCAATCTAACCATGAGGTAAAATTCCCTGCTGATCCCCAGCATAGCGGTCAGTGGTGACGCGTAGGGGGTACACATGCACCCCCTGACCGGCCACGCTCACCTCTTAGGTGACGGTTAGGGGGGGCAGCCGGGAGTGCTGGTGCCCTCCCTGCAAGCACCAGCTGATCACTATGATTGCTGCGGCGGCTTCCAGGAGGATTGCCCACGGGTGACCTCCCTGGTCAGCAGGACTGGTTGCAGGGGGGGGCACATGCTGCTTCCGACTAAAGCAGCACCAGTTGCTCATGATAGTGATTGGTCTCACTGTAAATGGAGTCTTTGCATCTCCCAACTACACAGTTTGCCCAGTAAAAGGGGTATATATAAAAACAAGTTTTAAACTCAACCAACCAACCAACCAAAAAAAAAAAAAAACACACCACCGAAAAAACCTTTCTTTTCACATATTCACTTGGACCATCATGGCTATAACAACATTCCAACCTTACTTAAACATTTCTGACTGAAGAAAACTGAAGACATTTATAAAGGTACATCCAACACAGGTAAGTTTTTTTATATGCCATATTTTTCTCACATACAACACAATCCCAGAACAAGATATGCACCATACTTTTGAAAGGCAGAATGAAGGAAACAATTTTTTCCTCATAGTAACTGAGCAGCAGCAGCAAGGGAGCTGAGACTGTTCATTTTTCTGCTCCCTGTGGATCTCTGCCGACTTCACTTTTTCCTTTCCTTCGGGATGCAGCAGACACTTCTTACTGCATTTCCTCACACACAAAATGCACAGTCCAACTTCAAGCAGCCAGTTTTTGAAAAAAGGTGCGCAGTGTATGCAAGAAAATAAAGTTCAACTCTTAAAAAATACCTTAAGACACAAATCATCGTAGAATAAATACATGGTTTGTTAAAGTGCATCATATTTCAAAGGCAATCAGAAGTCATAGTAGAGATGATATCTTTTATTAGACCAACAAGATTTTTGCAAATAAATAAAATGTCTTTAATTGCTTGTGTGTGTGTGTGTGTGTGTGTAAGCAATTAAATTCATTGTATTAATTTATTTGCAAAAATCTTGTTGGTCTAATGAAAGATATCCTCTCTACTACGAGTCCCAGTTGCCTTTTCTTCTACACCAATACAGCTACAACCTGGATACCTCATATTTAAAAGAATATGCTAGCAATATATGTACTTAGGTTTTTTAAAGTGGTTTGCAAGGTATTATTTGTCACTTTTTTTATACAAGTGTTATGTGAACAGGTTTGGATTTTTTACGAAATCCGGATTGGCATAATTAAGCTGAATTGTTCATAAAATTGTACAGATCTGTCCTTGAGCTTGATTCAAAGGCCACCGAAGATGGGAACATTTCACATATATCATTTAATTTTATGTTATTCATATTTTTAAGTGCAATCCCTCAAAAATAAATATTATGAATTACTTTGTTCTAGTTAATCTTACATCAAGGTTGGTCTTTATTCCCAATTATTCATTAAAAAAAACCAAACCAGTAGTAAAATCAGGTCTGCCAGACCTGATTAAATATTTTAAATCTTGTCGTCTTGTCAGAAATCTTGAAAAGCAGGAGACCTTCTAGGTGTGGTAACAAGATGCTACAGGAGCAGCACATTCTAGAATCTAAGGCCACACACTAACACGTCTCATTAGCTGCAACCCCTTTCAAATAAAAAACATATCATCCAGCTATGTCCCTGTACAGAACAAGTGGTGTTCTCTTAAGTAATACTTTGCAGAAGCAAGTCATGTAAGAGCCAGCACATTTAGGTAGATAATTTCTATAACAAACCATTTGGCTGATGTGTCAAATGTCAAACAAATAATGGTGAAGGACTCATTAAATGGCTTTATCCAAATTTGCTGGGAAAATGTGCACACACATTGAATATAAAATATCACAATATGTTACCTCAAAGTGTTGTAAATGTTACTGTTTTCATATCCTACCTCTTCTCAGGAGTGTTTTACCTTTCGGGTTACTGTTGGCTTGGGGCTTGCACCAATGAGTTTCCTTGGTAAAACAGGAAGTATATTTCTCTGCACATAAAAATTGGACAACAGTCATTATGCCACTGCCTTGCATCTAAACAAACAAATTTAGTCAAACCGAATAAGACAGTAAAGTTACAAGGTACAGTAACCAGCGGACATTTTAACCAAATACATTTTACTGCATCCACAGGTAAAGCAACAAAATGCAACTCTTGGGAGAGGTTAAAAAGGCAGTTGAAGTACTTTATTTAGGTGCTGTAACAAATAGATACTAGACCAACTGACTTTGGGCTCTAGTTATTTTTTGTGGTCCAGATATTGATGAGTCAGTTATTAACATCTTGACAATTAGTTGTTCACCACTGTTGACCCTCAGCTGGATTCTGTGAACCAAGAAAGGTTAAAAAAGCTAATACTCGCAACATAAAAATATCTAAACTTTTAATTGAAAAGTTAATACCAAAACAGAAAAGATATAAATGACAACAGTACAGACAAGACATATCAAGCAAACAATTAAAGTTTATGAATGTACATTTATGTAAAGGCACAACAATCTGATTAGGGAATCCGCAGCCTGTACCAATTATTAGACCAACCAAAAAGTTGGAAAAATGGTTCTTTGCCAAGCTTTTGGGCACAAATACTATTTTATTGTAGTATTTGAAAGCATTTTAATCTTAACATTGTTAAGTCATAACATCTTAAAAAAACCTCTGCCTGGTTGGCCAGTCCATTACAGAAAGGACCTCCATACCTAGGTTTCAAAAAGTACGTTGCTAAATAGCACTAACCAGGCCTTCTTGCAAGTGGGCAATTCAGCAAGAACTGTGGTTCAAGACTGACGAGCAAAAATCCCGAAGTGGACCTGGTTTTTAAATACTATGACTTGGCTAAAGTATTGGGGGAAAAAAGCTTACGAAATAGGGCAAAAAGATAGAAATATCTTTTTGCCCTATTTAAGTAAGTATTTAGAAGTATTCCCAATAACTGGTACTGTAATTAATATTAATCTACCTATTCTTATTCCCTATATAAGATTTACCTTCTCTAAAATTAGCCTCAACTATCACAAAACTACTAAATGTACACAAGGCAACCTTGCAAACTTTACTCTGATTTTTTTCAATCTACCTTTCTTGAGTTTTCCAAAGTGGTTCACCCCTTATGAAATTCTCCTGCCTGAGCATTTCCTTTGCCCATTTTCTTAGCCAAACTACAATCAAGCAAATACAAGCAACTCTATGACTAGAAACTGATGTTCCCAAGTGAAGTGGGTCAGCTATACTGTGATGTGACAAAGCACAGTTGATTTGCCTCACCGGACAGACCATGTCATTCTTTGTTTCACTTTTGATGGCGCAGGATGAGGAGCAATGCGATCTTTCTGCTTTCCCACTTAGGGAGAATCACGCTGGGATTCCCCGGGGTGCTGTTCTGCAGACAAAAGCAAGGAAAGCAGGTGTTCCAGGGACTTGGGCCTTCAAGCCCCCATAGCACCTGCCAAGGATGGCTGGAGAACGAGAGCATCTCAGGCTGTTCTGCTCTCCTGACACAGAGCTAATAGACGTTCTCTGCAATAAAGTGGAAGAATCTTTAATAAATAAATAATCTTTAATAAAGTGAAAGTACCTTTTATCGTACCACTGATTTTCCATTCCTGTGGAGCAACAAAAGGTAGCAACATGTATTTGCTTCCATTTTGCAGCCATAAAAAAAAAAAATGATGGCGGCACAAATGAGTTGTCAGACAATGTTTGTTTCCAATCTATATTATCTTATTCCTGAACTGCTTAAGGCCTACAATAATCATAGAAAATTAGGCTTGGAAGGGACCTCAGGAGGTCATCTAGATTCTAGTCCAATCCCGTGCTCAAACCAAGACCAACCCCAATTATATGATCCCAGCCAAGCCTTTGTCTAGCTGGGTCTTAAAAACCTTTGAGGATGGAGATGCCACAACCTTTCTGTTCCTTCTGTTCCAGTGCTTTACTATCCTTCTAATGACAAAGCTTTTTCTAATATCTAGCCTCAGCTTCCCTTGCTGCAACTTGAGACCATTGCTCCTTGTTCTGTCATCTGCCACCACTGAGAACAGCCCAGCTCCATCCTCTTTGGAACCACCTTTCAGGTAGTTGAAGACTGCTATTGAATTCCACCCAACCCCCTCGGTCTCCTCTTCTCCAGACTAAATAATGCAGTTCTCTCAGCCACTCCTCACTAGTCATGTCCCCAGATCTCTATTTTCATTGCCTTCTGCTGAATTTTCCAGTTTGTCCACAACCTTGCTGTAGTGGGGGGCCCAAAATGACACAGGACTCCAGATGTGGCCTCACCAGTGCTGAATAGAGGGGAACAATTGCTTCCCTCAGTCTGCTGGCATTGCTCTTACTAATGCAGCCCAGGATGCCGTTGGCTTCCTTGGGAACAAGGGCACACTGCTGGCTCACATTCAGCATCTTGTCCACTATAAGCCCCAGGTCATGTTCTGGGGAGCAGCTGCTTAGCCAGGGAATCCCCAGCCTGTACCAATGCATGGGACTGTTCCGTTCTAAGTGCAGGACTCGGCAGTTTTCCTTACTGAACCTCATGAGACTTCTTTAGGTCCTGTCCTCCAATTTGTCAAGGTTTTTCTGAATCCTAGCCCTTCCCTCCAGCGTATCTATTATTCCCCACAGCTTGGTGACATCTGCAAACTGAGGGTGCACTCCATCCCATCTTCCAGGTTGTTGATGAAGATAATGAACAAAACCAGCCCCAGAACTGACCCCTGAGGCACTGCACTTGATACTGGCTGTCTACTAGACATTGAGCCATTGATTACTACTCTTTCAGCCCAACGATCCAACCAGTTTTCTATCCTTTGTACAATCCAGTTCTCCAACCCATACTTCTTTATAGCTTGCTTGTGAGACCGTTGTGGAAGACCGTATCAATAGCCTTGCTAAAGTCAATCTACCCCCATCAACTATATTAGTCAAGCAACAAAATGTGTTAGTCCAGTAACAAACTG